ACAGGGGTGGGGGGAGCAGGACTGGCTGGGGGGAAGGGCGGGGTGGAGTGGACTGGCCTGTGGGAAGAGGGGCTGGCTCGGGCACATGCAGATCCCGGGGCGCTGCCTGTCCGGTACTAGCGGGGCGCACAGGCATGTTCCTTCCTGACCCAGCCCCCCTTCCTCTCCCCGCCCTCCACTGCATATTTGCCTACTGCCTGGCTGGTAGACACACTCGCGCAGCATGGGCACATCTACCAGCCAGGCAGTACGCAACTACGTACTGATACTCATGATAATAATAAAACGTATTTAATTAGAAAATACCAGACATTTATATGTTCAGTATTTCTCAAATTGCCTTCCTGACCCAGCCCCCCTTCCTCTCCCCGCCCTCCACTGCATATTTGCCTACTGCCTGGCTGGTAGACACACTCGCGCAGCATGGGCACATCTACCAGCCAGGCAGTACGCAACTACGTACTGATACTCATGATAATAATAAAACGTATTTAATTAGAAAATACCAGACATTTATATGTTCAGTATTTCTCAAATTGTTTCCTGGACAGAAAGCTCAAATACCGAACTGTCTGGTTCAAAACCGGACACTGGCAATCCTAGCTGGTGCGTTAATCTTGCGGGGCAGGAGGAAGGGAGGGTTCCAGGCAGATGCTCCAGGCACATGGAGGCCCCAGTGTGCCTGGCCGGAGCAACCAGAGGCGGCAGTTACCTGCTGGGTACCAGAGCGTCAGAGGCCACCAGTGCAGTGAGAAGCTGCTGCTACCACTGCCCTCTGTCTCAGCCTGGGCCTTCCTCCCGTGGCCAGAGGGGGGCTGAGAGGGCCGAGGGGAGGAGGTGGCCGGGGTTGGCTGCAGCTGGAGAGGGAAGGAATATGGGGGGGCCAAGAGGCCAGGAACAAGGATGGGGGAGCCAGAGAGGAGGCCAGGGCTTGTTGCGAGGGATGGGGGGGGAGACAAGAGGCTGGAAGGAGCTGCTGCGTGGCTCTGCTAATGAGGTGGGCATGTCTTAAATTCTTCCTGCATGCCGCACAAGCGCGCACCCTGTAGGGAACTATGTGCCCAGCTTGTGCCCTGGAAATCTGGGCTCCACTGTGCTGCATGCAAAGTCTGAAGTAAACATATCTCCACAGTGTTGGCAGGGGAGTCCTGGCTCTCTTTTCCATCTCATCACCTTGCCTGGGAGGGGAGTGGGATGTGGCAGTTTGGAGTAGGGTGGGAGCCAGGACTGTCTCCTGGGGTCTCTTCTCAGCTCTAGGAGAGGAG